CTAAAATTTTCTGACCAAACGTCATCTTTAGTGTCATAGTTGGGGATTTCTTCATCCATTACTTCTTCTTCTACAGAAGCGGTATAGGGGGAGGTGGTTTCATTAGTTGCCACCTTCACCTGTACTGGCTTCCGTAGTTTAGAGTTTACCCAAACCCGGGACGTTTCCTTTTCGATGACTTTCTCCTTTTTGAAGAGTGGTGGAAGGGATTTTCTTCGTCGTCTTCTGTCGATGTTTTTTTCTATAGCTAATGATCTCTTCGTTGATGGGAGTGACACTGTTTTGGCTTCCCAATCGATCTGGGGTTTCAGTGCCGAGAGCCAAGGGAATCCTAGAAGGATTTTATCTTGTTTGGCTAGTTTCGCTACATTGAATTTTCCAATCATAGTTCGTTGATCGATTTTGACCGTGAGTACGCAATAGCGAGAAATGAGTCCTCCTTGAGCATCTGATCCGTCTGCAGTGATGACGGGGAAAGGTCGAGAGAGTTTATGGGTTTTTATCTTATGCCTTTTACAAAAGGCGTCGCTAATAAAGGTTCCAGATGCTCCGGAATCGATGATCATGGATGTTTCGACGGTTTGTACGCGTTTATTGGAGAAAATGGATGCAGGAATTCTCAATTCATTTCTGGTTACGATAGAACGTATTAGTCGTACAGGAGTGGGAGTTACTGACGTCGAGGCAGTTCTCCTTTCTAAAAATCCATTTCTACGAAGCGACGCTCTACTTCGGTGAAGTCGCTGTCTTCTTCTTCCTCGATTTCCTTCGCTTTTTCTTTCATAGTCTTCCTTTGGATTGGTGCTTTTCTTTTCGGGGTATCTTCTTCGTTCCTCTCCTTCTTTCTCCTAATAGGAGCTTTAGAGGAGGAAGCGCGACTTTCGACTTCGTCGTCGCTGCTGCTTTCTTCTTCTTTGTTTCTCCGGATCTGGTCCCTTTCTCTAGGGTGGAAGGAGGTGTCATTGGCGCGATGTCCTACTTGGTGACATTTGAAGCATCTTCCTTCCTTGAGGTGTTTCTTTAATTCGGCGTCCGATAGACAGCTTATGCGATCGACTTCCATATCATCGCTTCTCCTGGGAACATAGTGCTTGTTCCCGAAGTTCTTCTTCTTCTGCTGGTTAGGTCTCTCTTTCCTTTTAATGGCTTTCAACCTTTGGAAGGCGTTGTCGAGGTTGATGCAGGTGTTGACTACGGTGTCAAAGTCATCGAGACTTTCACCGGTACGGTGCATGCTGTCTTGAAGCCCGTAATCTAGACCTTGTCTGAAGAATTCGATAAGGGGGGCTTGTTCGGTCATCCCTGCCCTGTGTGCGAGGAGTTTGTAGTTGGAGATGTAGGTGTGGAGGTCTCCTCTCATTTCCAATCCTCGGATCTTCATCATGGCGGTTCTGGCGGGGTCCATGGGTTTGAAGGCTTCGTCGAAGTCCTTCTTGAATGTGGCCCAAGTTCCATAGCCGATTATCTGCCTGGAGGTATCCTTTCTTTTAGGATCTAAGGCTGCTTCCATGAAATCTTCTGCCCATATTGCTGCGTTCCCCTTTGTCATGTATGACAATACTAGGATAATATTCTTTTTGTCTTCGTTGTATACTTGATCGTTGATATCAAGGTATGCGTGACATTTCATCATGAATCTCTTGGATTCTTCTCGGTCTCCATCGAATTCAGGAGGGGAGCCGATCTTGAGCTCTATATCTTTGGCTTTGGTCGTCATGGTGTTCAAAGGAGGGATATTTGGTAAGGCTCCTAAGTTCAAGGCTCCGATCAAAGGAGTTAACGAAGTCGTGGTGTCGGTTTCGTTGCAGATGGCAATGGTTCAGTTGATAAGACTTTAATCTTTTGTTACGACTGGGATGAGTCGAGCTATCTATGTCTGAATAGACAATCGGCAGAGTGCCAGATAGACGGAGGTCTGCTCTCGAATGAGAGATCAAGGTTTCTGGCTAAGGCGAGTGTCGCTGACTCCCTTAGAATAGTGGTTCTTAGACAGTAAGGTTGGAGACCTTACTGAAGGACGATGTTCCAGGTAAAACCCAGTAGATTAAAGTAAAGAATACAATCGTTGGTAGCTAGGTCTATATACCGAATGTTCAAGCGGAGCTTGTAAATGGTTATCAAGATAGAAGCGCGATAGGAAGAAAGATAAGGCGGACAGCCCGCTTGGCGATGATAACAGATAAGCATGATACGGACAGCCCGTTTGTAAGCAAGATAAGAAAAATGAAGATAGGGGTCAAATGTTACTGTAACAGTCATTGATGTTGTCATTCAACGCACATACAGTCTTCAGTGTCAGCACTGAATGTTCAGCGGCGATGGGCATTTGTAGTGCTGTCGTTTGTGCTTGTGATGATATTGTGGCGCATGTCTGTGGTTCAGTGGTGCTGCGGGGGGCTTGCAGGACAAGGTATGGTGTTCCTGGTAGGTTAGCCCTGGTATTGCATTTTTTTGTAGTACGTGCTGGTGAAGGTACAACAATTCAGATGGTGAGTCTGAACAATGTTGGGTCTTGCAGAACCTAGCTGCTATTTGACCCTAAAGGGTTTCTGGACCAGGCTCAAGGCTCAGAGGAGAGGAAATATCATGAAAACTTGCTAAGTACTCTGACTCATACTGGTAACTGGTGAAAAGATAACTTTCTTATGTAAGCTACAAAGTGCCAACATAAGGTAAGGTAAAAACAGTCTCTACAAGCCCAGCCAGAAATGAATCCCTACACCGGCCCCTTGGTCTATGTAGTTGTTAGTTAGGGTAGCACAATAAACGAAAGACTTACATGAATGACCTCTTCTCAAGGAATCTCCCCTCGCTGTAAGAGAGCTAGATTGGTAGCTGGAGGAACAAATCCTGTCCCTTGGTCTATCACACTGACTCCTCCATCAGGGGCTTCATCGATCCACAGCAGTATAGAGACTGACATCTCTGTGGCCTCATAGAGGTCTATTTTCTGATGCATGGTGGAATGCTCATCATCACCCAAATCATTCCATAGCATATCTGACTCAATATGCACCAAACCTGAAAACATTGGACATTGGACATTAGACTATTGCACTTCACATCAGCCTATCAGATATCATGCACACTTGTCCTACCTATGTCCTGTCTCATTGTGCTAGCCCCACTAGGTGCGCAGTTACTTGTTTTCACATCACTAACATTGTAGACCACATTATTACATGTCCGCAGCGCCTCATGTCTTATTACATAGGACATCAGATCTGAAAATATTGTGCTACTACTTTCACCTATAGGGTTCCGGTGTAGAGATTCATGCCTCACATTGTGTGATATGGCAGTTTTCACTAGGGAGTACATGGCATGAACTTGTAGCATCACTCTGCATGCTATCTGCAGCTATTCCTATATGAGGCGCAGCTTTCCCGCACAACGTGCAACATGCGCGCACACTTCCCGCACTTCATGATGTATATGCGCGCGTGCTTTCCCACGCTTGAGCGCCCTATAATGCCAGCCATCCGGAAGCATCCATCCACTGTCCACCAAGCTCTCTAGTGTGTATATTTCCATTTCTCTTATTTGCATATCATTCCACCTTGATTTTTATCATGGACCCTTACTTACATATATCTTTACATACCTTACTCGCTAGCGCGTCAGCTCCGCATGACAGCGCTTAGGCGCCATACATAAGCGCCAGTAGTACATACCAGAGAGTAGTTTAGAAACCCCCATGTTCATACCACACAACTCAGCTTAGTTGGAATCACTCCCTGAAAAGTAGCACTATCATCTCATATCTCTATATACATGTGCACACTTTCCTGCGCCTTCGCACCTCGCACGCGCCTGCGCTTTCCCGTGCTTCGCTGTAGGACACGAGCTGGCGCTGGGCTCGTATCGAGCTATTTTACAGTACATGTCAATTACCCGTCACATGCTAATCACTTCCCGATGTTATCCGACGCTAACCCGCTAACCCGACGTTTAGGCCGCATCGGCCGATGCAAATTCCCGTGCACTCGTCCTTCCCGTGTCTTGTCCTGTCTTGCTAGCCCCACTAGGTGCGTAGTTCATTATTTCACACATTACTCACGTCGTAGCAAGCGCTATTACATGTTTTCTCATCATCCGCAGTACCACATGTTATTTTACATGTACTTCGGATCCGAAGTATCCCGCCGCTACTTTCGCCTATAGGGTTCCGGATTTCTACGTACCTACATAAATATTGGACTCCCCACAGTGTCGTTCATCATCCAAGTAGAGGGGAGCAGTTCCCCGACGCTTAGTGGTCAAACCCGATATTTCGTAGCTCTTAGTTGATATTGCGAATATCATCGCTCTTTCATTATCCGTATCAATTATCGTTGTTATCACGCATACCGCTCGCTTTTCCGACGCTCGCATAACGCGTCACTATTAGTTTCCGCATACCCGACCCGAATCCGACTACCCGACCCGACAAACCCGACGCTTTTGCATCGGACATTGTTTCCCGCGCTCGGACTATTGATCTCACATCACTCACTTACCCCCAAGACTATTCCCAGACCGCAGACCCCTGGGTCGAACGCACTTGTCAGGCAAGTATAGCAGACTAGGCAGTGCAAAGACCACAACACAAATATATCAGTTTGGAGCCATCTTCGTATAGCCAAACTCGGTATTGTTGTTTCTACATCGCATTAGCCAACCAGTAGCGCCTTCAGCACCTACTTCTAGATCCTTGCTGCACTCGCTTCCCCTTTAGGGTTGAACGCACTTGTCGTGTCAAGTATAGCAGACTAGGCAACGCGCGACCTTACAACATTTATAGATACAGTCAGGAGCCTCATTGGTGCCTCGCTGTATTGTTGAACCTTCACCGCCATCACCCTGGCGAGCTGTCTGCACAGCGAGATGATGGAATTTGTACATTTATCTCATGTTTCCTCTCCCCCGCAACCAAGCAGCCCCACTCCAGCAGTGCAACCTGTGTTGAACCAGTATTCTTTGATTTTTTTCTCAAGAAAGCAAATAACTCACCCTGTTTGATGACCTCTGATATAGGATCTGGCTCTGATCATTCAGGTTCTCCCCCAACTCCTCTCTCCCCAGTGGATGAGGTGTCAAACTCTCCTGTAGTGAGAGAGGGCTTATTGCATAGCCCTTCCCATCACAGAAAGTGTGACTTCACATCTCTGTCCTGTCATGGGAAGCCTGGCCACACACCTGCAATGAAAGAGAGCTTATTGCATAGCCCTTCCCCTCATAAATCACATTGCATGGCATCTCCTTCCCATAGAAAATATCACACTGTGTCTTCTCCTACGCCTGTTTCTCCAATGAAACCCCACAACTCATCCCTTCCCCTTCATTCATTTTCTCCTCCAGCTTCTCCCCTTCTTGGGAAGTTTACATCTGCTTCTCCATTGGAGCTCTGTATCTCAGCTCGTGCATTAGGGCAAGAATGCCGACCAGAATTCATGGCTGAAGACATTGCAGAGGTACGTTCATAATATCATTTTATTCGATTTATTGTGTAATCTTACGGTAAAAGCATGAGGAATTGATAATGAAGGGCCTCATGGCCATGAACTTATCGACTATGTACAAATTATTCAAGGCAAGGCTTGCTGGCCATGAAGCTGCACACCAATGCCTCACAGTTACAGCATGGGCAATTCAAAAGGCAAAGCACTACTTAGAATTTTCTGAGGCATTCAATGAGGATAGCAAAATGTGCTTCAAATATTCTGATGAAGAATTCCAAAGAGTTAGAGCCACTCTCACTGAGCATCACCATTCAGAGATCAAGGACAATGGGACCTACCTTCAATCTGTATATGATGATGAGTGCAACACTCTTCATGCAATTGCTGCCCAGGCAGACACAATGGGAAAAGTTCTGGGCCTGAACATCAAGAACGACTTACTGTCATCTAGGGGAGAATCTTCTCATTGCCCTCAATTCACCGGCTCAGCTGATCCCAGTGGTTCCCATACATCCTCCAATTAGATGGTGATGGTCACAATAGTACCATGGACTCGGATGATGATGAAGAATCTGAAGGCCACAATGTGTAGGTCCAATCGCACAGCCCTTCTTTTTGTGTCCTCTTTTTGCAAATCACGGTATCTAAATTTGACTGCCAGCTCGTCACTCACTAATGGATATATCAGTGAATAGCCACACATTCAATTCTGTTCGGACCGCGCCATTCACATGTCGACTTTTTGAACATGTGTCATTCATATAGCTGCTTCTCGAACACCATGCCTCTCCCTGCCATCCATATATGTCCATAGTCTTACTTATCGAAACACCAGGCCACTCACACTCACTAGATCACTTTGTGATCGAACCACCATGTTTTTATGTATGTTTGGGTGTGCTTTATTACATTTGTGTGTAATAGTATTGAATTTGAAACAATCAGTGCACTATCAATTGTTGTCTCTCTCTCTCCTGACCACTGTATGACTAACTGTCCTTCACAATGAAAGGGCAAGGCTGCCATCCCCAAGCCAGCAAGGGGATTAGGACTTAACCCATCAGGACTTCCAGCTGAACAACCTTCTGTATCAGCATTCAGTTTCAATCCACACAAAGACAGTATGCAGTGACAAAGCGGGGGTCCAGGTGAGTGATTCATCAATCACGAGTAGTATTCACAACTAACAAGCCAAAAAAACAGATCAGCACTCTTTCTGTGGACCCACACAGTACAATGACACACACACATCCAGCTCTACATCCTTCAGTGCTCAATTCGTGCAGCCTCAACCTTTAAACAAAAATCAATTCACATAGTCACAGCCCAATCTTTTGCAGCCCCACTATGGTACATCCTACGATGGGTACCCTTATAATCAAGATAGATTTGGAGACATGGGGGACCAGCCATACAGCGGCCTGTCCTCAACCAACCCAACCCAATCTTTTGCAGCCCCATGACGACAGTACATCCTACGACAGGTACCCTTACAATCAAGATGGATTTGGAGACATGGGGGACCAGCTGTATGACGGCTCATCCTTAACCAACTTAGGAATGCCTGGGGGCCCTCAAGAGGGTACCCACGTGCACAGAACACCCTTACTGCTGTAGGAATACAACACAGAGTGGGGCTATACAAAGATGGCTCCAAACTGATATCTTTATGTTGTGGTCTTGCACTGCCTAGTCTGCTATACTTGGTGAGACAAGTGCATTTGACCCAGGGGTCTGCGGTCTGGGAATAGTTTTGGGGGTCAGTGAGTGATGTGGGGTCAATAGTCCGAGTGCGGGAAACAATGTCCAAAGGTATAATTACAATGTCCGATGCAAAAGTGTCGGGCATGATGTTTTTGGGGTTTCAGGTTATCAGAAACTAATAGTGATGCTGAAGGTGAGGAATCTTGACTATAGGTGAAAACACTAAAAAACCAATGGGGACTCTACAGCAAGACCTGGATATGAGAATACGACTCGACCCAAAGGACAACTACTGAGAGAAGTTCCTCGCTAATAAAATGGAGGGAAACTCTGTCAACTAGATAGGCACTGGTATGTGCGAGAAGATAGTGCGCGCATAAGTGGAGGCGCACTTCGAGCAATAAGGGAAAGAGTCTTCAAGGAATAGCGGAAGTGCGGGTGATAGTCGATAGAGAAGTATAATCAGATTTTTAGCACTTAGGGTGGATTATACACTTTGCAGTATACTGAGATAAGGGGGAAAAAAGTGAAAACTCGTCCTAAAGAACCCTCCCTCCTTTTAAAACGGGGAATTGTGCCTGACAATTACGCTATGTGGCGCATCTGAGCGTGGTACTGAACCAAGTAACTATATCAACACTAAATATATTCTAAAGCCTAAGATAGGTGTTCTGTATGTAAGTGTGGAAATCAGACCGAGGATACGTCAATTCAATGAGATTGATAAGAATATTGCACCAGTAAATCAGCGAGGACGTAGGATGGACGGATGGACAGGAGTGCGAAGACCTAGGGTGAGGCGTATGAATGCGTGCGCAAGACTGATCCTATGGATAAGAGCTGGAACATATAGGGGATTATGTGGGTAAAGGGCCGCATATTCAGCATTGAGATGCGCGAGTCTCTACAACACAATAGCGAGTGTCAGGAAAGTGAATGGTGTATGCAATAATAACAATGACGGATATGGGCAGTGAAGGAACAATGATATTTGCAATGTCAACTAAGAACTACGAAATATTGGGTTTGACCCCTAAGCATTGGAGAACAACTCTCCTCTACTTGGATGATGATGATGCTATGGGGAGTCCAATATTTATGTAGATACATAGAAATACGGTGAAGGTTCAACGATACTGAGAGGAACAAATGAAGCTCCTAACTGTATCTATAAATGTTGTGAGGTCGCGTGTTGCCTAGTCTGCTATACTTGAGATGACAAGTGTGTTTGACCCTAAAGGGGAAGTGAGTGCAGCAAAGATCTGGTAGTAGGCGCTACTGGTTGGCTGATGCGAAGCACGGGAAAGTGCAGGCGCGCGTGAGGCGCGAAGGCACAGGAAAGTGCACGCACGTATATAGAGATATGAGATGTAAGTGCTACTTTCTAGGGAGAGATTCCAACTAAGCTGAGTTGTGAGGTATGAACATGAGGGTTGCTAAACTACTCTCTGGTCTGTACTACTGGTGCTTATGTATGGCGCCTAAGCGCTGTCATGCGGAGCTGAAGCGCTAGCGAGTAAGGTATGTAAAGATATATGTAAGTAAGGGTCCATGATAAAAATAAAGGTGGAATGATATGCAAATAAGAGAAATGGAAATATACGCACTAGAGAGCTTAATGGACAGTGGATGGATGCTTCCGGATGGCTGGCATTATAGGGCGCTCAAGCGCGGGAAAGCACGCGCGCATATACATCATGAAGCACGGGAAGTGTGCACGCATGTTGCATGTTGTGCAGGAAAGCTGCACCTCATATAGGAATAGCTGCGGATAGCATGCAGTATTAGTGCTATGCTCGGGGACAACGTGATCAGTGGAGTCGAAGTTTGGAATTCGAACCATGTATATACCGCTTCTCATTCTCACCTTCCCTCAGCTTGTTCCACCACGCTGAGGGTAAGCCTTTTATAATTGTTCAGTCCGCCGCTAGATACTGACTACAGCTTAGGCTTACGCAGTATCTAGGTATTTAATACAGCTTGTTCCACCACGCTGAGGGCTTACGCAGTATCTAGTCTCTAAATGCAGAGTGATGCTACAAGTTCATGCCATGTACTCCCTAGTGAAAACTGCCATATCCCCCAATGAGAGGCACGAGTCTCTACAGCAGGTGCAGTGAAGGTGTGCAAGTCTATGGACTTTGAAAGAATTGTGTGCAAATCACTGGCAGTTTAGGCAGGGCAGCACAAGTTGAAGTCTACAATGTAAGTATGTATCTGTTAAACTTGGTTTACCAGCCTGATCATGCACACATACCTTTGCAGGTTATGTCCAAACTGCAAATTGAGAGAGTTTCCATCTGTCGAGTCACTTATTACACACCTCAATTCCCAATCTACCTGCTGGCCACCTGAAGCATGACCACACGAATTACCTGTCCCTCCTGTATTCTGTCAAAGTCCTGTTTCAAGTACCACTGGTACTTGTCATCCAGGTTCTGGATATGTCTTTGGCATTGGTAAAAATATGCTCAATAGGTTGGAAGATAATAAATATGCATACCGGCAAAAGATCAATCATTACTACCCTTTCCACGATGAAGGCAAATGGGAACTAGGGAAGTTCTTGGTTGAAAACCTCACTCAAGCACAAATCACTAAGTTTTTGAAGTTGAAATGGGTAAGTAGGATCATCTAAGCTATATGCACAAGTCTGATTGTAAACAGTTTAACAATTATGCAAGGCCGTCTTTCACCACAAAAGATAAACTCTTGGACTGGATGGACTCGCTTCCTTGTTTTACGGAGTGGCAAGTCTCCAAAATAGAGTTTTCAGGCTACAAGACCATTTATCCCATCAAACTCATTTGGCATGATGCTGTTATGCACTCAAATAGGTCTGTTATGCGGAGCCCTAAGAGGGGCGTCGTCCGCTAATGTTTGTGACGTAACCAGAAGGGTCCGGTATAGCGAGTGAGACTGGTGACATCAAGTCGGCAGATATCACAGACGCGCGTGTCACGTGACTTCTAAGACAGATGTCTTTGAAGTCACTGAAGTCAAAATAAGGACTGTCTTGTCCTAACGATGACTGTCAATCGAGGTAGACTTAGATGCAACGAGCACCTAAGAAAGTCGTACTAGAGACAAGAGCTGAGAGGCTCTTGAAGGAAGTAGTTTCGAGGGAAGATTGAGTAGATTCAAGCTAGGGAATCTAATACAGGATGACCGACTACTTATACTAAGTGGCAAGGGTTGAGGGCTGGGTTACCGTACTGTAGGTAAGGGTAAAGGGGAAACGGAAAGGGTATAGGTACGTTGGCACCACAGCCTGATTAGTGCTGGGAGGTCGAATGCAGAATGAGACCGAAGAACGTTGGACCGAGCCAACGGTAGTGTTACAATGCACGGCAGGTGCAAGTCAAAGGAAACAAGAAAGGAAAGACACATTGGTGGCATGAGTCCTGATGAGTCATAGTGCCAAGGCACATGCACACGTTGGTGCATTATCAGAGATAAGGTGGATGATAGGATGGAGACAAAGGACGGGGACAGTCCTGAGGATCCGGTCAATGGATATTCGGTAAAGGAGTGCGAGCCGGTAGATGGTGAGGGCAAGGATGAAGGGAAAATGATAGGGGGGCCACGTGACCAATGTTACTTGTAACAGATGCATTGGATGTGGTCAAGCAACTCTTTAGTGACCTGATCTTTGCAAACCATATGATGTTCGTCCAACACCACATCGATGTCGGAAATCAGCGTGAATATGGAGATTACATGAGCACTGATATGGCATGGAAAATTCAGGTCTGTTCACTATATTATGTTCCTCACCGAGTCACAGAAAGACTTGCAATTTTCTAGGACCACCTCCCTATTGGTGCAACCCAGGTTCCCATCATCTTGGGATCCAATAAAACTCCTGTCACACGACTTACTGGAGGACTTGAGATGCACCCAATTTTCATCATCATCGGTAATATCAATTCAGAGGTTCATTCCAAAGTGACATTACGAGCTTGGCGCTGCATTGCCTACATGCTGATCGTAAAATTCTGTGTGCATCCAGATTATCAGAGTATTCTCCAGGCACGGCTATGGCATAAATGCATGGACCTCGTCTGTGCTAACCTCAAGGCCGTGGAAGCAGAGGGATGTTTCATGCCTGACCCTTTTAGATTCATCTGTTATGTTTTCATGCCACTTGTAGCTCATGTATGTGATCTGCCAGAGGCCACCATGATCGCTGCAGTTGCTAAAAATGCATCTCCTCTGACTATGGTGATGCAAGAGCATTTTGGTGATGGGATCCTCCACCCCCCTTGTACCGGGAAGCATACATTGGAACTCCTCATCAATATTGCCAAGACAGTTGATCCCTGGGACCTCAACAAGTTCCAGAAAGTGGCCAAAGCTCTCAATCTGTCTGGAGTTCACATGCCTTACTGGTGTGATTGGATATATGCATGCCCATCTGTCTTCCTCACTGGCAAAATTCTACATACCTGCTTCAAATTTTTTGCCGATCACCCGCTTAAATAGGTGAAGGAGACTGTAGGAGCTTATGAGCTTGACACCCATTACATTGTCCAGCATAAGCAAGTTGGCACATGCCACTTCACCAAAGGGATCATGCATGTCAAGCAAATGACAGGCCGTGAATATAGAGATATACAATGTACTATTGTTGCATCAATTGCAGGTGCTGTTTCACCCAGATTCATTTGCGCAATCTGCAGCCTTGTGGAATTCATGTATCTTACATAACACCCAATTCATTCACCCCAATCACTCCAAGCCATGACACAGGCACTTTCAGATTTTCACTCCTTCAAGGATGCTATTGTCACTGCAGAAGCTAGGAAGGGGAAGAAAGGTGTTGTAGCACTCAGACTGGTGTTGGTCGCATATCCTGCCAATCTCATAGGTGCCTCTCATTATACTCCTCAACACTTCTCTTACCTTCCAAGAGTTCCATACGCTCATCCAAGTCGTCTGAAGGTTGTCTATCCCCTTCTGAGGCCTGTATACACTTCCAATCCTCCGTACCATGTCCAGTCCGTGTCCATTTGACTTTGCTGGTGCATTTTCACTTGGTTTATCCATTATTAATTATGCTGTAGTGGCTCGCCATGAGTCTTATTACATTTCGGATAGCTTATCTCGCTACTAGTTTCGCCTACACAATTCCAGACTTTCACGCTGTAGGATATAACCTGGCCTGCTAGATACTTGCACCTTACTTCACTTTCCTTGCTATGAGTCATAGTTTGTAGAGTCACTTCGGATAGTCATACTTCACGCAATCAATTTTTTGTTCATTCGGAACAATTGTTTGGCTTGACCGCTGCCATTTCACACCTCACTGTCTCTTAGTTCTTCCGATAGGCTTTGTTTAGTCATACCTCGGTACTTCTGCTAGTCTTACACTTCAACACACTTCAACAAACCTGCCGTATTTCCCTCTCAGAACTTTTGCTGTTCGCTGGGAACTCTTCAGATGCTTCGTGTGACCTCGGACCTTCGTTTCTTGACACCGGACCATCTTCAGACACTTCAGACGCACCTTCAGAAACACGGAATGCACTTTAGGTATCTTTCCTGTTCTCATCTTCGATCTTAACAAGATATCCCTTGCATATTATATCAAGAGATAGTTCTATAGGCAGTCTCTTTGGGACAAGCATTACACTCGCACATTGAGTTCAAAGGTAACACTATTTGTAGCGCCTACAATAAATCAACTCTTTACAGCGTGAAAGAAGATTTTTTTATTCCAAAACTTGAGCTAATGCAAAGTTTTGAGGGTATGATCAGGAGGTTGGGCACATTGATGCAATTCTCAGCTGATATGACAGTGATTGCTCATAATGCACTGTAAGGACCTTTTCCCCTGGATGGCTCGACAAAGCAAAGATTTCACGGAGCAGTGTGTTCATATTCTTAATTGTCAGGAGTCAATGGAAATATTTGGTTTATATGTGTTGTTGATTTCTCAGGGAGCACCACTGGTCAATGCCATACACACTGAAGATAAGGACATTACAATCACTAATCCTGCACTTTCCTGGGTTTCCCGCATACTCCCTGACGAGGTGAAGTCGGTTCATGGTCCCAGACCAGTCCATAACCACTTTCTTAAGGGCATTCTTTCTGGAGATGCGCTCGCCGCTTTCCAACTGAATGTTACCCCAGACTATAAATCACTGTCACTGGCTGAAATACGCACGAAATACACTCTACCTGACTTTGATCACGAACTCACCAACTTCATTCGTTGTTCCTCCCTGGCTAGCAGTGAACACACCTGCTGGGACCCCAAATATGGGCGCTTCCAGGTGTGGATTAAGTTTTGGCTGCAGCTGCACTCAGCCTTCCAGCCATGGGTCATCATGCCAAGCAGAGTAGTACAAGCATACCCGCCAAGCAATGATTTCCCCTTGGGCAATTGCAACACCATTCCTATTGATGGCCCGGGCATGGATGGCAACATAAGTATGTGTACTCCCTGTATATCGAGCACTACTGATATCATATACAGCAAGTTATGTCGCACAAGTTCAACTGATTTTTCAGCCGACAATTCAATGAGGTTCTGATGTGGAACTGCCATCATACCTCTCTAACCCACTTCTCTATGTCCAGTATTTCTGTTTCATCTCTCGTCCTGAAGACCGTCCTGAACTCATGATGTGGACCGTGGAATGCGTGTACACTCATGATGCAAATGGTAACCATCATAGACAGGAAGCTGCCATGTGACTTATGGATGCAATGCATGGGGTCAAATTGATACCAGAGTATGGTGAGGCAGTGGACAAGAGCATGACCTCTGCAACATGCTGTCATATCCCGTATTCCAGACCTCGGAAAGCTACGAGCATTTCTTTCTAAATAATTTTGTGGACAAGGAGAGTTATCATGCATTCAGTACTGAGTTTGTATAGACAGTAGATTAATCAGTATGTAGCAATTGTATCTATTGCTATCGCATCTATCATATGGCATCTCTGAGCATATCACATCTTATCGAACTGGGCTTCAGTTTATCAGCCAGATATGGTGTGTAATACTGTATCATTTCGACCTTAGGTTCGTGGGAATTTCTGCACTGCATTACATAATGGTTTTGTGACAGGTTCGTCTCTTGAGGACAGCTGTGACAAACTGACAATAAGTTCAAAAGGTTCATATGTAGTAGGATAATACATGTACTTTCTACACAAATATAGTTCAAAAATGACAATGAGGAAGGAAAAAAGTGGTTAAGTGAATGTTTTCATAAAAAAAACATATCTAAAAACAAACATATCATATGTTATGTCACAAAATTAGGTTCATTGACCAAAAACAGCTGTGACTGTCACAAAAAATAGGTCCAGTTCGTCAAGCTAGCTACAGTGTGACAAACCTAAGGTCAAAATGATACAGTATTGGTGTTCAACATCTCCACCAATCGCATGACTTCGCTACTAAAGTCATAAGTGTTTGTAAGTGTCTGTAACGAGCATAAGTTAAGTGTTCAATTCAGTTGTTTTGCAGATGTAGATGAGTGTAAGAATTATGTAATGTAAGTCTGATCCACTGGACTACCCCATATATAATGCCTGTCCAATGACATCACTTTGACAGTTTGACTAGTTCAAGTTTCTTGCGCACTGATCTTTGACTCTGCAGCTGAAAGCTGTTAAATGATATGGCCTAACCCGATTATGATATCGATTGCATCAGTCCCAAGTATGGAGCCAATATCATAATTTGGATCCGGACAAGCCTAAGACTTTCCAACCGCATGGAGTCACTATAACGTTACCCCGGCGTATTCTTCCGCAGAATGACGAGCTAAATTCGTACCTTTCTTCGGATCAGTCGTCTCCATGGAGCTCATGATCAAGTCTTACAAAATACTCGATCACCAACGTTGAGACGTTGATACTGAGTATTACTGACCACCTGCGATGTCCAACTCAAAGGAAGCAGATCCGCATCCGTCTCGTTGGCACAGGTTTCTCCAGTACATTGAGGTACCCACTGATCCTGGAGTGCCCAATACACCATGGCTCAACCGCGACCTCATCCCCATGCCCAAAGAGCGCCGCACCTATAAGATATGGTCCTACTTCATCTACTGGTGCATCAGTGGTCTCTGCATTTCAGGGTATACTACCGGCAGCACATTACTCGCGTACGGCCTAGATGCGACACAAGCCATCGTGTCTCTCGTCATCGGCGGTCTTATCGTTGGAGTGCTTTGTGTCACCTGCGGGTGGATGGGAGAGAGGTGGGGATGCTGTGGTCATGGGATGGGTTCCATCGAAATGCTGACAGCTTATATGAAGACACCACATAGGTTTTACTGTAGCGTGCAGGTTCAGTTGGGGCATGCGGCGAGTATGCAACAATTGACCGCGGCACATTGTGTTGATTCCTCTAGCAGAGGCGCCTATTTTCCTGTTATCGTTCGTGCTTTTGTGTGAGTGATGCGCTAAACGTATTGGAGTACACTGCTTGATTTCACAATTCAAGGATCATCTTGTAAGTTCTGAGTTTCTTTTTCAAGTGCTGAAAGCTGATATGCGCATTTAGCTGGGATGGCCTCCAGGCCTACTGGGGTGGACAAGGTGACTTGTTTTCTACTCCTGTTCTCTGTTATGTTGCTGATAAACTTTCGTGCAGCTGTTGCGGTACGTCTCCAAGTCCTCGTGCATCTTACTTCATACCATGCATTTGAATAGGTTACAATCGGCGCCATCATTCCTGGTGCGCAACCTTTCTTTTAGGTTGTTTAATGCTCATTCTTATATTGTTATAGGATTTGCCCACATGTGAGCACACGCGCACCCAACTTGTTAAGTTTTCCAGCCACTTACACAATGATTTAGGAAACAGACGTTAGCAGGAGGAATCTTGCTGACGAAGGACTTCATAGGCATAATGTTCGATACATCCTCTTTCCACGAATCCATTCAATTTGACTGTCGTATGCAGCATCTACTACATATTCTTCATCGCAATCATGCGCATCCCTCCTGAGCGACTCCAGAAACCCTTCATCGTCTCGTCTGTCATGTTTAGCGCCACGTAAGCACCGTCACCATTCTAACTTCACGCATGCGCTGCACTTACTCGACAATCCAGCCTGATCGGACTTCTTGTTTGGGCGGTCTCGAACACACATTCTGGCGGTCCCTTGTTTCAGGAGCAAGCGAGTCCCGTTCATGGTGGAACAGGATGGTGAGATCAAGACTTGAGATAAAACCAGATATCTTGTTAAATAATACGATAGGGCCATGTTATTCGGTATCACTGCGATTCTTGGCGCGTGGTGCGAGACTGTCCTTTTGTCGCTTGCACGTCCACCTGATATATGTTATGGCTATGGTGAATAGGGGTGGTGGAACCGTCGGTCAGAGCGACTGGACGCGCTATGCTAACCGGCCATGTCTGCCCAACGTCATCACATTCTTGTTTGTCAGACTAACACGTCCATTTAGATGCGCCTACGCTATCTCAGTTAATCGCTGCGTACGTCTACAACCTATATTCGCTATGGTTTATCTGACTGATTACTCCCAGTCCATTTTGCATCATTGTGTGTGCCACGATTGGTATCATCGTCACGTCATGCGCCCAAGCAATTGTAGGGAGTTTGATTTGGGAGCCTTTCCTGCTTCTCGCAACTCTGCAGAATTACTAGTAAGTTGAGGGGAGGGGGAGTTCGTCCGCTGGGCATAGCTTAACTCCTTTCTTCAGTAATGACTCCCCGAAAGGTAAGGACAATCTCACACTAAGTGTGGGTGCTCACTTCTCCATCGGACAGTTCGCGCTGCGATGTATGTAACACGTTAATATGCTCTAGTTTCTTCTCTGACTGCGCTTCAGTTTCTTTGCCGGACTCGGCTGTGTATGTGCCCAGCTCGGCATTAGCATTGTTCTCAACTCTGTGAGCGCCGGAATGGATCTCTCGTACGTCCTTACTCTCGTATCCCAAGATCTACCTAACACACGAGCAGGGGTGTCGTACCGTCCGTATTTTATGTTTATTGTGCCCCAAATGCACGAATCAACGAATGTTCTTCCGCAGACGCTATATCAACATCAGGAGGGGTGCTTACTTGCTCGCCTTCCTGGGGCTAGCTTCAAACCCTTGGCAATACCTGTCTAATGCTTCAACTTTCTTGACCGTACTATCTGGCTTCGGAATATTCTGTACGTGTTAAAGAAGTTTGATTCATCACGATAAACTGATCCTCCCCAGTCGCTCCCTTTTCTGGAATTCTTCTCGCAGACTACTTCGTAGTAAGGAGATGCATGATCAAGCTCGAGGACTGCTACATCGGAGACAAACGCTCTATTTACTGGTGCGCAAACATTATAGGGCATATTCTTCCTCTCACTTCTGTCAAGGTACCACAATGGCGTCAACTGGCGTGCCCCACTCGCCTGGGTACTTGGGGTCTTCCCAACGATGCCTGGGTTAATCATGACAACCCGCGACGCGACTGCGTGGAATGTGTGGGTGCGCATTTTCCACATTGCGTTCTTCGTCGGTAGGTTTGCTGCTATTAAACGGTGTCTTAAACATTCACCAAAATTTGGCAACTCTGCAGGCCTTTTGATATCATTCGTCGCGTTCTCGGTGATTTGTTGGATCTCACCCCCGGGTAATGTGGGTATTGGAGTGCTGTATCATGAGGAAAATAGTTTCGAAGTGGAGGGTGAACTGGAGACCGAGGAGAAGGGAAAGGGACCAGTGTAGGAGTGGAATAGATGGTGGTTTGTTCTGCAAGACCTCCTATCCTATCATGTTCATGTTAATCCACGACAGGATTGTGGAATGAGGACCACGGTGGGGCTGCAGCCCAAGTTCACAAGTCCTCCAGCACTGGACATCCCAATGTCAAGGAGTCAAAGAGTACCAGAGAACGAGCATCGAACCAACGATTTCTTAAATTTGTCCTTACACCTTCACCGTTATGTGGGAATGGAACTGTAAACACATCACTAGTGAGGTCTACATAGCAGGTCGAGCGAGGCGTGGCGTTCCAAAATTTTGGAATCTCACCGTCAAATGCAAGTGTGGGACATGGATGCACAAAGCGAAGAAAGAAATCGGTTGCCTTAGTGGGTGGTATTCTGCAAATCATTTGCATGCAATCGTGTCACGGTACGAAAATTTTACAAACACAGCAGGTATATCCTTAGAACTAACGAGTGCAATTTCCTGCTGCTCCGATCATCTCCACAGTGCTAGCCTACGTCGATGATGAGTACATGGCAGCAACACTAATAGAAATTGAACTACGCACGTCCTGGCAGCAGAGTACGGTCTTTGAATTACCACATGCATTCACAGTGGGAACCGTCGTGCACCCCGTACCTGAACTCTATGCAACGTCGAGCGCAGGTTAAGTAAGTTAGTTCGCGTGTTCCTTTGAGGCTAGAATCAAAAACGCACATAATCATCGCTGACAGCAGCACAACACGTCGGGAACCCCGTTGCGCAGCCTCCTACATTCTGGCCAACGATTACAACGTTGGGTTCGGGAGCAGGTGTCGCGATCATGGAGACAGATGCACAAAGCAACACCAGTAGATGGGTGAACATGGCGTGATGTGTAGAAAACTCGGGGGAGTAAAATTTAAGGTCATATTTTCAGGATGACTGGTAGAAATATGGTGGCAGAGGCTTGCGTTCGCTGAAAAACCGTGACCGAGCCATAGCCGAGATGTCATTTAATCAGTCGAACTTCTAGCCGAAGAGTGCAATTGTGAGATATTACATCACCCATGGATTCGAGGTAATCAACGGTTACCGACCCAAGAGTCTCCAACCAACCTATGGAAGAGCTTTGGGTTTTGCGCTCAGCATGCAGCGAATTGTTTATCACTGAAGAAAATAAGAGTTAGAGCAGCAAAAACGTAGTACAATGCTAGTGCATTAAGAGGGAATCGAACCCCCGGCGGGTCGATGGCAACGACCCAGGTTACCACTACCCCATTAATGCCTGTGCTATCCGAAGCATCATCGGGGACCATGACGGCATCAGCGACACTGTGGGAAGTATGCCGAGCATGAGCGAGCGCTTAACATCTTTCGCCGACAATGTCATATGCCGCTGCGTACGGGCCCTACGGCCGCTCACCGTCTCCTGTATTTACACAGAGTTCCGTGTCACTAGATGACTCCTCAGCGGACGAAACACCTGATGTCCAACCAAGCGCGAGCCGAACAGGCTCGCCGGGGCCTCTAAATGCTGAGCATGGGGAGGCAGCAGGGTCAGACACGATGACATGCCTGTGGGACGACTGTGGTGTTGTCTTCAGCCACCTCCCCAGTCTCATAGAACACATTCACACCAGTATGTTCATGTCCTGATGTCGTCGAAACTGAACATCACGTATGTGTGTGTGTTACAGCGCACATCGGTGTGCACAAGTCGAACTACACTTGCGAGTGGGCAACATGCAACCGTCGTGGGCTCGCACAGACTTCGCGGTTCGCCCTCATATCCCATATCCGCTCACATACTGGCGAGAAACCCTTCATTTGTTCCCGGCCAGGTGAGTGGTGTGACATTCATTTATTCTCAATCCACATTCAAAATAAAAACCAAACATCACCAATCTCCCTGTATTCTGTTTTACTTTTACTTTAATATTAATAATAACAATAATTCAACTCCATGCACCCATTGTTATCCACAATGTAACAATCGTTATCCACAACAGTTTACTCTAATTTCACTTCTCTTTTACATACCCACTCAAATATCCTCAGAATGCGACAAGTCCTTCACCCGCTCCGACGCACTGGCAAAACACATGCGACTACAACATAACATGCCCCCTCCACCCTCCGGTAGGGGCGCCTCAGGAGCACGCAAACGCAAGCGGTCTCTCTCCCCCTCCCATCCTCAAACCAACGTACCTACTCCCGAGCAATCCGCATTCAGCACCTTCAAGCTCGAGCCACAGACCCCTTCTGAGCTTGAGAACGGGATTGGAGGTGGAGATTACTTTTCGGCGCTCACGCGTGAGGAAGAGGAAGACGACGACGATGGAGAGGACGATGGACTTCCACCGCATTTGCAGCGGCTCGTAGACCCTAGGACTGGCTTGATTATGGGCCGCACTCCTGCACTCGTTATGTATGTAATTCAGAAAGCGAAAATGCGCTACGCGCTTGAAACCCATGCAGCGCTCATCGAGGAACTCAGGTGCGCTGAATTGATCTAGATAGTCCTCGCGGCATTGATATCATCTCCTTTAGGGTCACGAGGGCACAGGCGAAAGAAGAAAAGTTGAAGAAAGAAACAATGCTGGATGAATTGATCAAAAGTGTCTTTGGGTGCGTTTGTCCATGTCCGTACTCTGTCTGATCTTCATTAAATGGGTCCTGCTGCTATCCAGAGAGGAAGCAACAGCAGCTGTCACACAAGTCCCTCCCCCACAGCGAGGCCACCGAATCCTACCACCACAAGCACACCATGTCCCAGCTGCGTATCCACCGCAACATGTGCAATCAGGCTTGTCCTAAATCTCTTGTATCAATGTTCTGCTATCGTTATCGTGATTTTGACATTGCCCATGCGTGTCATGCAAGTTCGTGCAGCCTGTGACTAGGATATTAATTATACCTATCCTGCTAAATCCTACGTAGTAAAAGCTTTCCTCGTCCTTATCGCGCATGTCCCTCATGAGCCACAATTTTTTATCGATGTGGGTGTTGTCGAATGATCTGCGGTGTTGAACGAATTATCTATGCGATGACTCGAAGTCATGTCTTCACTAGGGTCTAGTGCTATGATCCATGATATAATTTCCTATAGTCTAACACAAAGCAGCGGATATAAACCAAGTAACAATTACAGTGATTGATTTTTTACATCTACTCCCCTATGCCTTGCGGTCAGTGATCTTGCTCAAGAAGGCGCGGAACGCATCTCGTCTCAACCTATTGCCCTTGCCCACCTCGTGTGCCTCAGGTTCAGGCACCTGATCAATCATCGCATTGATATCTCCGACAGCCTTCTTCTGATACTCCTCATAGCGCCTGGGAATGTTCAGCCCCTGCTCGTCGTTGTACATGTCCTTCACAGCTTGCTCCTGCGCGGCCTGATCTGCGCCCTTCTTCCCGTAGTTTTCATACAGGAGCTGTTTCTGCGCTTCGGTGCCGTACGTGAGTGCCGTGCACACACACCAAGAACATTTTCCATCGACGATGTCCGTGCCGATTTTGCCGATTTCTGCCTCGGTGCCGTGGTAGTCTAGGTAGTCGTCTTGCACTTGGAAAAACTCGCCCATAGGAATGAGAATCCGGTCTGCTTCTTTATACGCCTCGATGGTCTTTCCGTTGATCTCGTATACATCTGGGACACCACACATGCGCATGGCGAGCGCGACACTGAGGTAGAAAGAGTAGAATGCGGTCTTATACCGTACAATGAAAGTATGTTTGTCGAGGTTGTATTTGCGAATGTCGATGTTATCTTCCGGGGCAGTGATCAAATCGACGAGCTGGCCCATCTCAGTTTTGTACGTGACCTGCAGCACGTCCATGTCAGAAGATGAGAGCGCAGTAAAAGGGACTGAAAGAGGCATACCTCCTGGAACAGTTCCAACAGATCTACGTAGTAGCTCTCTCGCCTGAAGTGAGTCTTCAGGAGGTGGTAAATTGCACCCTCGAGCATGAAGGAGTCGTTGATTGCGATGTTGTGGACCTTTCCGAGGCCCTTGACATCATGGACGCGGTACCAACAAGGTTGACCGCGTCGTGAGATGGAAGCATCCATCATGTCATCAGATACAAGGAAAAAGGCTTGTAGCTATAATTATGAGAGGGTGCTATTGGCTGAGCATGCGGGAGAAGCCGACAAGGGACTGAAACGCACGAGTTCGATACACCATCCAAGCAGGGCGGCTTTGAAGTACTCGTCGTCAGTTAGAGGTCGGTTGAGAAGTATTGTGACAGTATCGACGACAGATATGCCGCGATTGAGTTTGCCTCCTGGAACATTGTAAACAAGGTTCTAGCCAATCAAAGGAGGCAGGTTGCAAAAAGATGGTCATATCAATCACTGTCTATCGAATACACGAAAGATCACGTACCTCGTTGAACCACGTCACGGCGTCCTCGGGCATATTTTCTGACTTCATATGGTTAATAAGTTCCTCGCGAATGCGCTCGAATACGGCGAGGAACTTGTTACGCTTGTCTGCTTTCGATATTGCCATGTGTGCAGGCGTCGAATGTGATAAGATTTGGCTTGGTATTGACGAACTTTTGGAGGCTAGGGAGACCTGGTCTAGGGTACGGTACTTGTGGTTGACGATGAAAGCTAGAAACAAGAAGAGGACTGGTAGAAGATGATAGATGCCTGCGCGTTGGTTAAGTACAGTAAAAAACATTAATAGTTAAGTTAGGAGTGGCCTTATAATAATGAGACCACTTTTGAATTTTGAAATTGATAACTTAAATTAACTTGCTTCTAATAGCAAGGTTCCAAACGCTTCGCCCACCCGCTCAGCTGTCCGACGGGGAGACGAGTAAAGTTAGAATTGAAACGTATATCGGTTTAGTTTAGTACAAGTACGCGTTTGAGTCCAAGTTAAGTACACAGTACTAGTACAGTTCGGAAACGGCTGTGCGCCGCCACTGCCGTTTGGGGTTTGATCAAGGTTTGAGTAAAGTCTGGGTGCGCACGTGGTGGGGTGAGATCCCCGAGATCATCGCCACCCTAGCATCCCTCTTATCCTAGTAGGAAACGGGTGCCAAGGACGTGGTCTGCATCGCGACTCGAACGCTCAGGTAGACACTCTGCGTCAGCTTCGCCTCGTAGTCAATCACTCCCTCTTGAAAAACACGATGTTGTACATGTTACTTTGTTCCATGGATGATAAAAATCATGAGATCCGAGCAGATCGCGACGATACTGGTCTCCCCTGGGCTTTGGCATCCACGGCGGGACTAGTCCGAAGGGGTGAGCTCCAACACAGTTTGGATATGAAAATCGACGTCCCTAAAGTAAGATGGTGTGTGCTGGAGGACGCCCCCACCCCCACCCCCTCGTTACTGTTCCAATCAATTCTGGTCGTGATGATGGATTCGGGACGAAGCAACATTGATGTTATTATAATGTTAGGGACACACCTAGTGCCTAGAGTTTTGCCAGATCTGCCGGTTACATTGTTACAACCGGAAAATCTGACTACACCACTCCTGTATAGGCCATATTGAGGGAAGACAGTTAAGTATATACCGGCCTGGTTTCCTCTGGAAAAGCAGTATAAAATAGGTGGACACTGGAGTAGAATACCGAATTTTGCACACACAAGCTTATGCGGCGAACGCCGAAGAAGAAACTATGGAACATATATTAATAGATTGCGAACTCTCACTCCACGTGAAATAATCTGGAGCCTACGAGAGAAGATTCTAACAGATTTATATAAAAAGGGATAGATCAAGTCCTCCAAATGCATGGAGCGGGGTACTCAAAGATGGAGACAATCTTCCGGACAACTGGATCCGAAATGTACGTAGGGGTTTTAGTGGGCACTGGGTATAACACCTCGTGGGCACACCGGTGCCGTGGGATACGAATATACACATGCGGAGAACAGTATGAAATTCGAAAGCATTAAGAGGTCTCGTATCACATATATATGTGTTCTACAGGAAATTACATATTTTGTAAAGGCACATCAACACTCGGTACTTGCGTCCGAATTTTAAAACGATAGTGCATCACAAGCTCACCAGTCTGACGCCAGAAATAATGTCGTACAGCAGCCAGAGTCATATCCAACGGCAAAACAGAATCATTGCAGAGGATTTCGTACAGGTCTTCACCTCGAGTACGATCATGCGAGTTTTGATTATCGTCATGCGGTGGATGATGGGTCGACGTAGGACTGCCAGATATCTTGTCCAACTTTTCCTGAACCTGCATGTGATATCAACTATTGCATCGCCCACACAGGGGATCAACTTACATGATGAGTCAGCTTGCGAACTCTCAGGAACCTGCTCGACGTTAATTTGGACTGTGACCTTTTGAACACATTTAGAATACACGGCGCGTGATGAATTAAATTCACTAACGTGTTGAGCAACTCAGGGAGTGGCTCATGTCCCTGTTCTGTGCCTGGCCAGGGTAGTAATACAAAAGAGACCTTTGCAGGAGGCGGGCTCGTAATTTTGTTGAATAGCAGGTATTCAGCAAGCCACAGAGGTATCGTCGACTCCAACTTGTACACGTCAGCCCATGTAGTCGACACGCTGCCCCTATAAACCGTTCTCCACCCGGGATATACTTCGTCAGATATCAATATTGTCATTGCCGGAGGCAACGTCAAAGTGGGAGCATCGTTGGATGCGGGAGGTGAGATAGGGTGTGCGAGAAGCGCTTGTACAGGCGATTTTTCAACGGTGTCTGTCGGTGCCTGGACAAAGTAACAGTCAGACAAACACAGATTTTCGTGTTCACCAAAATCACCTCTGGAGCGGTTGGCATATCGGCCAGATTGCCAGCAGGGCTAGATATAGGTGAACCCGGTAACGCGTCAATGGTCATTTTTCTCACAGTGCCTTTACCAAGGCTCTTCAGACGCCCCATGAACCCGCTGCTGCCAGTAGGAGTGCTTGATATCGGTGTTGCCAGGACACTCGGAGGACCACTCCATGCAGAAAAATCACCAGCATCTGACAGCGCGGCGCTTCCCGTAGACGGGCGCCGTGTATGAGGATGGGGAGAGAAATAGTCCAAGTCCCGAGATGCGCTGGAGAGCGGTGTCCCTGCATCAAGGCCTTGCGTGCGTATGGGTCGAGGGACAGGAGTGGTATCGTTCGGAGGCAATTGAGGGATAATGGATAACGGTGGAGGAGATTTCAGCGGAACGAGCGGTATCATCGGGGTAAGAAGAGGGCTGGGTCGAGTCAAAGAGGGAAGTGAAGGAAGGACAGCGGGCAAACAAGTATTTGATGTCACGACTGCACTACTAACAAGGACTCGCGACGGCCTCGTTGAAGATTCGAAGGAATGCCGCAGTGTAGAACTTGAAGAGTTCCCGTTCGGTTCCAGTGATGGAGCCACAGTGCGCTGCATAGCTGAGTTACCAGTCTCGGAACCGTCGCGTTTACGACGAATGCGTTGCTCCTCGCGGATAAAGCCGAGGAACAGATTTCGTAGGACCCACCGGCCAATGTTGACTGAAGCGTGTGTTTTTATTAGATGAAAATTAACACAAAGAAGAATATACTTACACCGGAGTTCATCGCCAAAATGCTTGTCATGATCGAAGCCAGCCTCGTCTGCATATATTTCAGAATCGAAACAGCGCTCGTTGATATGCACAGTGAGGACACCAGTTTTCGTGTCCACAGACGACCAAGGCGAACTGACGGCATCACCCTCAATGCGCTCTCGGACTGCCTCAAGCGCCTCACGAGGACTTCGTTCTTTGTCACCCCCTGTCACACTCCCGTTGTCACGACGACGCCCACTGCTGGAAGTACTGCCTGATCTACTCGCAGCACGCACCTCATCACGGGCAAACTGACCTCTGCAGATTCCTCGCACGATATCCCACACAGCGACTTCGCCTGTCGTATCTACCGTTAACGCATGCATCCGATCGTTCAACAAGATAGCTCGCACGAGGCCAGGAGAGCCTGCTATCACCGCATCTGGGTTTGCGTTTAAAGGCTCGGCATCAGCAGCGAACTCCCGAGCTTCATAAGCCGTTCGAGGGTCATGCACTGCATCAATATCAGTGGGCGCCATCGAGATCTCACTTTTCTTGCTCCGGAGAGTGTTGGGGGGCATGAGGGTGGAAAGGTGATGAAGAGTAGCATGGAGTGGCAAACGTCCTCCCGGAACGGAGGCGATGGATGCAGCAGAGTATAACGTTGCAACCTCGGGATCGCGTCCACGTAGAGCGAATGAAGAAGGGGAGAAAGGACCATCGGGAGACGTGAGTCGTACAAATGATGTGAGCGGGACACCGGGGTAGGCTGCTGTCGCGTCATCCCTACGAACTAGTCGATAGCTCAGTATTGAAGATTTAGCTTAAAATTGGAAGTGCACCTTGATGTATTGACGGTGGTGCAGACCACTGTATAGAGTCAGGTCCAAGGGAAACTTGTCTCCTCGAAATCGTAGTAAAGGATCTATCAGCAATGATCTCTCTCTCTTCCTCTAAGACTCGTTTCGGTACGGGTTTCGGAAGCCTCCAGCGACTGATGCTCGATTTACCGGAGGCGGTCCAAAGAAGACCGTCATCTGCGGTTACGATTTTATTGATACCTTCCCCGACTTCAACAGAAGATTCCCCCGCAATAGTGATGCAGGCGCCATCCGAAATGTCTGCGCATCCCTCCACATCGACTTTGCACACCATACCCGACTTGTCGCCAGAGTAGAATACCTCGAGTGAGGGATGCGTCGAATGTAGAGACCAAACAGAATCTGTGTGGTACGCAAACGTATGTAAGCATCGCTGAGATGACAATGACCATAGCTTGATGGATGCTAGTGATGTAAATATTCAGAAAAATATTCGGAGGACCATGATGTGTTACACACCGTCTGCAGAACCTGTGAGGAGCTGGCCAAACTCGTTAGAACAGATTGTTGTTGAAATGTTCATAACTCACATATCGCGCATCCTCTGAAATAAGAATAGCTCTGATGTTGTCCGTGTGGCCGACCAGCTTCCCTGTCCTCTTTCCCGAGCGCGGGTCCCACATCCTGACGACACGTTCTGGAGATCCACTTGCAATGGCGTGTCCGTATGGGTCGGAGGCTATTGCATATACAGAGGCTTTAGGCGCGGTAGCATCAGGTGGGTTGAGGGTAAGAAATGGTTCGGGCGATATCGATGCTCGGGTGAGATCCCAGAGTTTGATGGTCCGGTCGAATGAGCCAGAAGCTATCCAGTTCTGTCCACGACTAAATACATGTCAGCATGAACTATTATATTCGAGGAATGCATACCAAAGAGCGAGACAGCGTGCATAATCAGCGTGAGACCCTATTGCAGAGGGATCACTGGGAGAAACGGCATGAGGATGCCAGGCCTTGATGGTTCCATCGGATGATGCAGAAACAACTGCTTACGGTTAGCCCGTCAACGTACCACTGCATTCCATGCACTTACCTGTCTGATTATAATTACAGAGCAAGAGATCATTTACCCAGTCTGTGTGGGTCTGCGCGCACTGACGGAAGCTAGAAGGCTACAAGATATGCTTCCAGTTACACGTAACATAATAAATATTGTGTCTCACCGATCCTGATGTCAACGCATCGGTGTCCAACTGCCACTGAAGTTCGTACGGTAACTGGTCCGTTGTGCTGCCTCTTCGCTTTCGTCCTCCACTCTCCTTTACATCTCCTAGCACATCACCATCTCGTCGTTCATCTTCCTCAGCCTCTTCAGCGAGTGTTTCATCTCCCATTCCTGTCAACATTTCCCATCTGTCTAACCTATCTCTGCGGTACCTGCCATCATGTCTCCGCCTGAACGGAAGTCCCAAATCCCATGATATGATTAGTCCATCCCTTCCGCCAGTATAAAGAATGC